TCTGGGCTCCTCTGGCTAAAAGACGGTGCCTGCCTCTCCTCTCTGGGGCTCCTCTCTCCCCACTTCCCCAGCTTAGTGTCTACACCACGAACCCATGTGAGCTCCACCCTGGGCTCACGGTGCTGACGGTTTCTTTCTAGCCCTCCCCCATCTAGCAGCAGGTGGCCCAGGCTCTTCCCCTCCCTCCTGACCTCTCCCTCCAGGTTAGTTCCTACCAGGCAGCTTCTGGGCCTCAAAGGGGCGTCTGGAGGCCGGAAGACACGCAGGGGGCCCCGAGGTTGCAGGGGACGCTGAGGGTGCAGGGCCTAGCCTCCGGCCAGCCCCTTGGCCTCTGGTCTCTGCTCTGAACCAGGCACGTGGGTACCTCTGGGCTTTTGAGCTGGGATGGAAGGACCCCTAGGCTGCTGCACGGAGAAGGGCAGACAGGAATCCAGCAAGCAAGCAGGGACCAAGAAAGAGGCGGGCACAGACGTGGCAGGTGTGCATGCCGAGGCTGCCCGCGCAGGGAGGGGAGAAGCGTGCAAGCCGAGGCGTGTACCTGCACGGGCTGAGTCATGGACGCAGCCTCGGGAGTCCGTGCAGGTCCTGATGGCCTCTGCAGAGCTACCTCTGGTGCCTGTCCACAGCATCTGGACACCGGGCTAGGGATGGACCCAGGAGCATCCCCTGCACAGGTGCTGCAGGTACCCAGGGGAAGAGCCTCCACGGCTGCCAAGCCCTCGGGGCTCAGGCCAGAAGCAGACTCCTCAGAAGACTGCAAACAGTGCTGAGTGCTGCAGAGGAAGACGGGGACAGAGGCAGGTGACGGGCGGCTGTTGGAGATGGTGCCAGGCATCTCTGAGAAGGGCAAATATCTTGCGAAAAGTGGGAGAAATTCCGAGGGAAGGGGCCAGCAGGTCCCTGGCAGTGTGGGCGGAGGGTGTGTGCTCAGAGTTGAAGTTGCAGGTGGGTTACGGAGGGCTCCCGGGAGGGACCTGAAGGTGCGTATGTCTAAACCTTATTCCTTCCTGCGGGAAACCATCGGAGCGTTCAATGTAAGGGAACAGGGCACGGTCACTACCACAAAGGAACCCTCGGGCTGGGTGGAGTACAGCGGCAGGGACACTGGCGACGAGATGGCTGGGCTGGACAAGGCAAAGGCAGGAGTGAGTGGGACTCTTGGAGGGACACAGGGAAGAACCAAGGCTGGCAAAAGATTTGGGTTGCCTGTCTGCGTCGGGGCTGCCCGTGGAGATGGGGCTCCTGTGAGGAGCAGGAGGATCGAGGCCGGACAGTGGGTAGTCCCATCAGAGACATGCACTGACTGCATGCAGGTGGCCACGCCAAGGACACAGGAGGCTGAGCAGGCCAGGGCTGAGGAGCTCAAATGTACGGGGTAGACTGTTAGTAGACTCTTAGTTACCCCTTTTTTCTCAATGGCCCCGGTTTTGTTCAGGGACCCACCTCTCCGTCACCATGCACCTTGGGGGACCTGGCCCCACCCCAGAGCCCAGGATGGACTTCACTTGCATGAAAGCCTCTTCCCTGTGATGGTGTTTAGGTCCTAAATCTGGCCAATAAGATGTAAAATTTACTGGCAACTTTTCCCTTATTCCCAAAGTCACACAAGGAACTCTTCCCTCCCCACCCCCACCCCCCCACCCCGAGGTTAAGATGTCTGGTTGCAATACCCCAAACTGCCGCCACGGTGGGCTGGCCTGACAGCAGCCTGGAGCCCCGCCTTTCTCCACAGGGGACAGCGCATCACACAGGCCCCCGGGCCCAGGCTGATGTAATTCAGCTGGTATGGAAGGCACCGCATTGCAGGAGGGAGAAAGGTGTGGGCCTGGAAGAAACACCCAGTGGGAAAGCACAGACACTGCAGAGGGCGCTGCCCCCGCTGGCCTCAGGAAAGGGGAGACGCAACAGCAGGAGGTCAGCTAGGAGCTGACAGCGTGAGAACTGAGAAATGGCAAATTATAATCCCCAGGAAGGCAAGGGAAAAAAGAAATAGGGCAGCAGGAAACAGCAAAAGGGGTGGTGCAATTGGTCCGTAAGCAACAGTTACAAGACTGAGGCTGGCGGAGTAGATCACAAACACCTGCCACTCCGTGCTGTCCGCAAGCAACTCCCTTCAGATAGGACACAGGCGGGCCGAAAGGAGGAGGATGAAAGACGGCACGCCACACAGACGTCAGGGAAGAAGAGCCGGGCTTTGTTAGTATCCAAGCAACACTTCGGAGCAAAGACATTAACTAGAGTCTAGGGTCCTAAAGGCAGATCAGTCCGACGACACGTGGTCCTCAGTGCGCATGCGTGGAACAAGTCCCGTTAGGAGGGGGGTGAGGAAGACTGCGGCGGCCCTCGGAGGTGGCCAGCTGCACCTGTAAACGCCCCGTTTCTGCACTCGCATCTAACGTCAGAGCCTTTCCTACACTGAACGTGTTTACACTCCCATCCTGTGTAGTGAACACATAGTGAGCTTCAGCTGGGAAAAGCGGCTGCTCCAGCCAAGGAGATCCTGGTCTCAGATGAAAGGCAGAGGGGAAACCCGCTCTCCTCTGCAACTCCATCTCCTGGAAGCTCACTGATCTGCCCAGGGGCCTGGTGGTTGCTCTCCCCCCACCAGACAGCCTGTCCCCACTTGGTCCCACAAGCCCCTCTGGGTGAAGCTGCTTATCCCTTGCTCCTGGGCTCAAGCCTAGAGGGTGACTCAGCCTGCATCAGGATCCTCTTCACAATCTCCTACGCCATCCTGGGCCGTGCGGCCCTCCAGCTCCACCAGGGCAGCGCTTAGCTTCTCTGGCCATGTATATGCTCCAAGGCATCACGCGCTTGGCTATGGCCTGTGTTGTAAGTTCCATACACACCTGAAGGGCCTCTGGCTAAGCCACTGCAGCTTAGGCTACGTCCTTCCTTCCTGGCCTTCGGCTTCACCTACTATCCTTCCTCTCCATGGTGGAAACGCCCACATGCACCTTCATCCAAGAGACCAGCAGTTTACTCAGATGGGAAATGGCCTGTGCCCAAGCAGGTCCAGCCACACACGTGGTCCTTACTCAGTTGTTAGTTCAATCCACTTTTAGAGGAACACAGGATTTTAGCACTATTAAAAGATGTGGCTAGAGCAAGGAATGGAATACAATTCCAAACTTGGTGGAGAGGGGTGGCATGAAGTATGTAAACCTTTAGGGTTTGGGTCTTATACATCTCCGACAGCCATGAGGAGACTAAGCCCTGGCTCTTTTGTGGGACCTGCTGACTCCAGCAGAGCCCTGCAGCCAATCCACAGATACATGGTGATCACCACCAGCCAGGGAGTTCGGGGGGTGGGGGGGAGGATCTGTTAATGTGGTGACAGCGACTCAATACCTCATCCTATTTCTTCCCAGGGCAGTGCTGTGCACAGAGAAGACACAAAGTATACTTCATTAACACACATTTACCGTGTATCTGCTGATTTTCAGACGCGTGCTAAGGGCAGGGGAGGCTGGTGATCCAGATGGCATAATTCCTGCCCTCAGGGAGCACAATCACACTGTGATGAGTTCTATGAAGGAATTTCTCTGCAACACAGGATGACAGGTGAGTTAAATGCTCTGGTGCTAGGACAGAAAGGGAAAGCGAGAGGCAGTGTAGAACGGAGAGCCCAGGTAGAGACCCACACACACATGGGAAGTCTGTAAGTAACAAGGGTGGCACTGCAGACCAGTGGAGAGAAGTGAGCTCACTGGTAAGTGATACTGGAGAGAGAATCTTTCCACATGGCAGAAAATAAAACTGGGTTCCTGTCTAAGCACACACCACACACACGATCAAGCCCAGCCAGATTAAAGGCGCGCACACACACACACACACACACACACACACACACACACACACACACAAATTATCTTTATGACTCTGGAGTAGGGAAAGCCTTCTTAAGCAAGTCCAAGACACTCAAACAATAAAGGAGAAGACTGATAAATTTTACTACATAATAATTAAACACCATATGGCTGGGCGCAGTGGCTCACGCCTGTAATCCCAGCCCTTTGGGAGGCCGAGGCGGGTGGATCACGAGGTCAAGAGATCAAGACCATCCTGGTCAACATGGTAAAACCCCGTCTCTACTAAAAAATACAAAAATTAGCTGGGCATGGTGGCGCACGTCTGTAGTCCCAGCTACTTGGGAGGCTGAGGCAGGAGAATTGCTTGAACCCAGGAGGCAGAGGTTGCGGTGAGCCGAGATCGCGCCATTGCACTCCAGCCTGGGTAACAAGAGCAAAACTCCGTCTCAAAAAAAAAATTAAACACCATTAAAGATACTATTATAAATAATGTTAAGAGTCAAGACAACTGGTAGGTTGAAAGAAAGTACTTGTAACATATATAACAAAGGATTAATAGCCTGAACAGATAATGAATTCTATCACAAAAAGACTGAAAATGGGAAGACGACATGAAAAGGCAATGCACAGAGGAGGAAGGTCAGTCCACCAACATCTTCATCAGACCCCCATCCACTCAGTGCCTGGCACAGGAGGGGCCCGCCTCCTGCCAGCCTCTTCATCAGACCCCCATCCACTCAGTGCCTGGCACAGGAGGGGCCTGCCTCCTGCCAGCCTCTTCCTAGTGCAGGCATCACTGCTGCCTGAGGGTGAGTCTGTCACCAAGAGGACCCAAGCTCAGTTCCAAACAGCTTCGGGAACACAGCTTTAGAGAGAGTGCCATTTTCACAAAACAAATGAAAGCCCTGATACAGGAACATCTATTTTTGTGGTAAATCCTGGCGGTCAGGGTAATGACTGTCTCCCCATGAGCACTTGATGTTAACGCCAACTCTGAACCACGAAAACACAAAGTGTGAGCCCCATGTGCCGCAGCCAGCCCCAACGTGGGTGAGAGAAGCCTTTAGGATCCAATAATATATGAGGCCCATCTTTCTTTCTCATGCTTATGGGAACAGACGAAAAACTATGTTTAGAAAAGATGCATTCTTGAAGAAATTTTAATTAAAAAAAAAATGAAAAGAAAAATTGAACAGTGCCTAAATCTTTATTTTCATAACCTACATTTTTTTTTTCAAATTAAGACAGTTTTACACTGAATGACACAAAAGGAAACTTAAATTACCAATAGTTTACATGTAAGCTTGATTCCAGTCTTAATGAAAAGAAGCAGAACAAAAACAAAACCCTCAAAGAGTGTCTTCGCAGCACCCCTGCGCTGTGAACTGCCAGTGGTCAGCGCCCTTGCCTGGATTGTCTGCAGGCCTCTAGTGGGCCGTGAGGCATGCAAGCCGCAACTACAGCTCGCCAGCGGGGCACGCTGACAGGCATGCACCACCACTACCCATCGCCCAGGCACACTAAACTGGTTTTAAGCCTGAACTGCAGAGATCCTGACTAACACAGCAATGCAAGACGTTTACTGCCACCGCCAGTGACAGCAGTGATGTGATGACAGACAGCCTGGGTGGAAATGTCAAGACACTAACTCTCAGAGAACAACTACTCCATTTGAAATTCATGTTTGGAGAAATGGCCAGGTTTTTATTCTTCTATTTCAAAATGATAAGCATCATCACACGATTTTACAAGTTAAAATGCCATTTGTCATTGCTGCATCTCTGATTCTATAACCTGAGATACCACTAGGGATAAAGGAAGGCGTTAACTTTAAAAAAAAAAAAAAGTATGAAAGACACTCTCATCGCTTTTTGATGGCCCGCATGCACCATCACAGCTTCGTACTGTAATTCCCATTTTCTTCTGAGTGGAAACGCTCAAAGTAATATCAGGTTTTTTTTTGGAGATTATATAGCTATCTGGTATTTCACCTTTGCTTAATTAAAAAGGATGCTATAAAAATCACACCCGAGCAAGGTTTCAGTTCTTGATGCAAAGACTGTTGCTGGCTGGGCAGTACTACAGTGTATTGACCAGATGGCAGCAGAGCCCTCCAGCGGTGACTGGCTGTTGAACACGCCGCCCTCCTCACGCAGCTGGTGAGCTCACACTTCAGCTGACAAACAAAGTGAAGGACTGCGCTGGCTCTAACCACACACACTGCGCTGCAATGCTCACACCTTGGGGGAAAGGACTTCTCATTACTAAAAACCAAGGATTCACTGGGGATGGGGGGGGTTGTGATCTGGGAATGGCTGATGGCGCCCTGGCCCTTCCCTAGCAAAGATGCACCTCAAAGGCCCAGGCCTCAGGGTTGCCTCCCAGCTTTTAGAGTATTGAGTTTGGGTTTCAGAGATTAATTATTTCTGATTTTTTTTGGCGGGTGGGGGGTCAGTGAACTGACAACTACAAAAAAATAAATCCCCGTGTTTCTTTCAAATGCATTTGAAAAACACTAGCCCTGTGGCTATTTCTCTGCATCTGAATAATGCAATTGCTTTAAAGGAAATGGTCACGTATGTCAGGCATGTTTTCCTCTGGCGGGTAGATCATGCTTAGCTGCAGGTGATGTTAACTAGATTACTTTTTACCTTCGTTTATGATCCTGCCAGGTTTGCTCTCTATACTTTAAAACTCTTTCACATTAGATATGATTAGTATGCATTTCATACTTTATGAAAACATCTGGAGGCTTTTAATAAGACTTTCCAATTCCCTTTTGCAGCAAAGAGGCAGAATCAGTTCAACACACCGATGTAAGAGAAAAAAAATCTCAACAAATCAAAAATAATATTCAAACCACAACACTTAGTTTATCTACATCCAGCTCAACAGCAACATTTATAATATATCAATAATTTTTATCAGAATTTTCTCTGTAGGGTACCTTTTTAATATGTTCTGATTATTTACAACTGTACAGGCAAAGCACACTCCCAAGTGCACATATTTAATACAGTATTGACTATTTGCATTTACAGGATTTTCCAACATTCTGAAAAAAAGATCAACTGTTTATTAAGATCTTTAAGGTATATTACAAAAACTACTGCTAGCTCTTGTACTACAGTATGCTTACTCAGTAAAACTAGCGACAGGAGATCCACACAGTAACTGAGTAACTCTGACCCACTCACGCCAACCCAGGGCCGGGCTCCATGGACTCTAAGCTGTCTTATACAAAAGTTAAGGCAAAGTCATTTTCAAGTTTAAATAAAATTCAAGTCTTTAAATATTGGATGGAAATAATTTTTTCTTAAAAAAAACCCTCAGTCTTGTTAAATAACATTTTGTGGAATAAAGTGTATGGTTACATTTAGCAGGAAATATTCTTATTTTAATGTTTGCTGCTTAGAATACTTAAAGAAAAATTTTAGGCATTTTAAAACAAAATAATTTATATTTAACTTTATCATAAACTTGCTAACTTTAGTGCATCCTGGTTCTTGAAGTGCAGCACTTCCGTAAGTGAACCAATGAGGCCCTCGTCTCGGAGGAAAAAGAGCAGGATCGTTAACCTCCACCAGCCAAAGAGGGGAAAAACCACAAACACCATTCTCTCACAATCACATAACTCTTAAATCCATGTGCTGATGCAGAAGTACAGGAAGACGTCCACATGGAGCTGACCAAGATGTGGACTCTCTCCAACCAGAGTGCTGGGGAATACAGACAGAAATGTGCACAGAGCAGGGCCGGAGCCGTCAGCTCATAGGGGTCAAAATAACATCATGGTGCAACTTCCGGTAACATGTCAGTGGGCAACAGTTTATGTTTTCATTTAGGTTCTATTCACAATGTGCTTTGAATTTATATTACATAATAACCACTTGAAACTGGAGTGAGAAGCTGGTTACTTGCTTGCAGTGCGTCAGAACCAAGGTTCCGTGTCTCCCTGGGGTGGCCCCTGCAGGTTCACTCTGCCCACAAGATCAAAACGGATGCGCTCTCTACATTCTTAAATGCCAGAGTCCCCTACTAACGGCTTAGGTGGAAGCACAGCTCCCACATCAGCACTGATACCCTGGCGTGGCCAGCACTGCCTCCATGAGGCCACACCTGCCTCTGCCAGGGCCACTGGCCCTCATTCATCTGTGGGGACATTCTAGAGATACGCACTTGCAGACTAGTTACCAAAAAAAAAAAAAAAAAAAAGTAGTATAGTTCCCTTAATTTAGAAAAACTCACTATATATAGCTTGCTGAAGTTCAGAGCCACATGGAGGCTTAATAAAAAATACCAATTTGTTAGGATAAATGCATTTTCTATCTTGGGAAAAAAAAAAAAATCAGACTTATGCATCACCTCCAGTTAAGCACCAACCTAAAATAAGGTTTGTATTAATTAAATCCTGAAAAATTGATTTTTTTTCAAGAGGGGAGAATCCAACTCACAGAAGAAAACCAACTTGAGGATCCCACGGGCCTCAGACACTGCAAGCTCCTAACCAGCGGCTCGCCCTCGCACTGAGTGGGAAGAGTGTCTCATTTGTGGTTAACACAGCGCTCTGCGACCCCTCCCAGACGTACGGTTTTCACTGAGGAGACTTGGGGGGAGTGCTCTGCTCTCGGCTGAGACGCTTCCCCATGGCTGAGGGCGAGGGTCGGCCCCCTGCCGGCCGCCTCTGGTCTCTGGGGGCTCCAGGTGTGGACTTGAGGGCTGGGGGCTCCCGGTATCTCTCCACAGGGTCTGCCAGCTTCTTTTCCTCCTTCCCACAACTAGCAGTGTTTGGCTTTTGTTCTTTTTGGGGTTGCAATGGGGAAGAAGGAGGCTCTTTACTCGTTCTCTGACAAATCTCTGCGTAGCTGGGCTTTCGCAATTCCTGAAAACAGACAATTCCGGGTTACCTGTGTGAAACCGTGCCTCAAGGGACAAGACAGGAAATCAAGTTCACTTAAGATAAAAGAGTTTTCAATTGTAACTAAGTTTCCATCTTCACTAGTGTTTTTAACTTCTAGAAAGTTCATAAAATTCAATGATTTGGTTTCCTCTGCAGTATAACGTTCCCTCTGTGCTACTCTAATAATGCCTAAAAAATGGATAAAATTAGAAAAGGCATGAGAAGAAAAGGGCTGACTGAACACCATGCCCCATCCAGCCCTATGCCTGCTTGAGCAATGTGGAAGCCTAGGAGGAGTCCTGATGCTGCCTGTGCTCACCACCCCACCTCAGGACAACAGAGGGGTGTCCCGAGTGCCCACAGCGAGCAATGGACTCTCACATGGTACCCAACGTTGAAAGGTAAACTCTAAAAACAGTCTTTAAATAAAAATGGTCTGCACATTTCAAACTACAAAGAACTGGAAATGTGTAAGAATGATGAAGGCAGCTAAAATCTTCACAGAAATGTATAAGAGGGTTTTCAGATAAGTGGAAGCGTAAAGGCTAAACTAAAATATTTCACTCACCTACAAAACTATCGCCTTCATAGTATTTTAGGGAGGGCGGGAACAACAGAGTCTCGCTCTGCCTCCTAGGCTGGAGTGCAGTGGCATGGTCTCAGCTCACTGCCTCCCAGGTACAAGCGATTCTCCTGCCTCGCCCGCCCAAGTAGCTGGGACTACAGATGCATACCACCACGACTGGCAAATTTTTCATATTTTTAGTAGAGATGGGGTTTCACCGCGTTAGCCAGGATAGTCTTGATCTCCTGACCTTGTGATCCCCCTGCCTCAGCCTCCCAAAGTGCTGAGATTACAGGCCTGAGCCACCGCACCCGGCCCGGCCTTTAATAACTTTAGCTTATTAAAAAATTCTTTTTAAGACTCAGCCCAGGGGACAATAATGGATTAATCTACCAAATCAAGGAAAAAGCTCACCCAAGATTAAACTACAGAAGACACAATTCAGAGTAAGTGAGGCCATGGTTCACCCAGTAGGGAAACCAGCAGAAAAGAAGTCGCTGGGGTTCAGGCCTGCTGGGCCCACAGGGATCGGCGGGTGGTTAGGCCACCATCTTACTCTTCCTTTCTCTTCATCAGACACACAACATGTGTGCACGCACACACACAGACACACACACAGAAACAGGAGCTAGGGTCTTGTGACTACTCAAGAAACCTCTACTGACCAACAATGAAATTAAGGACTATGTCGTGGTCCAAGAAAGAACTGGAGTAGTGGGAAATTACTAGCAAATATTAAAGGTATTTGGTACAGGAAACACAACACAGATCCAAATAAAAACCCACCAAATTAGATGTGATTAAAAAACGAGCAGGTGCAGGAGTGCGCAGCGTCTGTTCACACCAGAGCCTCGCGGCTGTCGTGCAGGAAGGCAGGCACGAGGTACGTACCGTGGCGGCTCCGTTCACCTGCACCGATTTACATGCTGTCGCAGTGAGGGCGGGAGGAAGTCTGTCCACACTGTGGGCTTCCCTCTGTTTCTCCGCCACCTTGGGATCACTGTAAAAATGCCACCCAATATTTGAATCTCATGCAACATCACAGGCCACTCAAGTCAGTAAACACCAAGGCGCCAGTAGAACACCAATACTCACTCGGGTAAATGAGCTGGGGAGGGGGATCTCTCGTATGTTGCTGATACAGCACAAGACGCCGGCACCGAGGGCTCTCTGGAGACCACTACAGGAAGAGTATTCATGCTCGAATCTGCACTGAGGGTCTGAAACAGGGTCGAGAGTGTTCATCAGAGTTCTGCCGGCACTAAGTGGAGCTGGTACCAGTGCCCATTCACCCCACCTGAGAACAGCCTTGGGAGAGAGGCACAAGGACATAGGGAAAGAGAGTCTTCTACAGCAAAAATGTCACAAAGAGCCTGGGACTGTCCTCTGCCCCACAGACCACTCACCCTTCTCTTTCTTGGCAAATGCCCCATTGCTCTTCCGTCACGGGCCCTTATCTGCTCTCCTGCAATGATGATCTACAAGCTTATTTCTTATATATATATATATAAATAAATAATTGCACTTTAGGTTCTGGTGTACACGTGCAGAACATGCAGGATTGTTGCATGGGTACATACATGGCAATGTGGTTTGCTGCCTCCATCCCCCCATCACCTATACCTCGCATTTTCCCACCCCAACCTCCCTACCCGCCACTGTCCCTCTCCTGTTCCCCCTCAATAGACCCCAGTGTGTGATGCTCCCCTCCCTGTGTCCATGTGTTCTCACTGTTCAACACCCGCCTATGAGTGAGAACATGTGGTGTTTGATTTTCTGTTCTTGTGTCAGGTTGCTGAGAATGGTTTCCAGATTCATCCATGTCCCTACAAATGACACGAACTCATTGTTTTTTTATGGCTTATTTCTTAACCGAACAGTCATCAAACACATCTTACCCACCTGGCACTTTGGGCCCAGCATGGTGTGGCACAAAACCACACACACATCTCCTGGGTGTTGAGTCCTAACACAGTTCAACATGACTCATTCACACAGCTGATCAAAAATGATCAGTGCCTCCACATCTGTATAAATGTGGGCTCCCTGAGGCAGATGGCAGGCACTGACAGCAGCTGTCCCTGAATTCACAACAACCCCAGGAAGCAGGTGGGCTAATGCCTCCATCTCAACAGATGGGGAAACTGAGGCCCAATACATCTAAGTTAATCTGTCCAAGGTTAGAAAGCTAAGGACTGAGCGAAACTTATTCCCTCCTTACTCCAGCCAGCAAGCCCCTCCCTGTGCAGTGGCTATTTTATCTGTGCTTGATCTTATTCACATGGGACATCATGACACACTTGTCATGCAACTTAAAAAAGGCAGGAGGGCAGGTGGTCTTCAAACTTCTGCCCTTAAATGAAGGCGGACAACAGACTGAGAGCCCTTCTAGCCCGAGAACCAGTACCTGCTGCGACTCCTGTGCTTGAGCAGCAGGAATCCAGCTTGGTGCAAACAGGATGGCAAAGGACTCCTTTTGCAAAAGCTCATTTTAAACTCAGTGTAAGGGCCGGGTGGCGCGGTGGTTCATACCTATAATCCTAGCACTTTGGGAGGCCAAGGTAGGCGGATCACCTGAGGTTAGAGATTCCAGACCAGCCTGTTCCAACAAGGTGAAACCTACTCTCTACTAACAACACAAAAATTAGCCTGGTATGGTGGTGCCTGCCTATAATCCCAGCCACTCGGGAGGCTGAGGTGAGGCAGGAGAATTGCTTAAATCTGGCAGGCAGAGGTTGCAGTGAGCCAAGGTCATGCCACTGCACTCCAGCTTGGGTGACAGAGCAAGATTCCATCTCAAAAAATAAAAATAAAAAAATTCAGGCTATGTTCCGTCCCAATGCAATGAAATGCAGATCCACAACTGCACTCATGAAGCAAGTCAGAGTGACCATCACAAGCTCCATGTCAATAGGGGAAGGGCTGAACCCCATCATTTCTGGAGTCTCCACCCTACTTTGAAACTCACAGGCCATGCTGTCGACTTAAGAAGCTCCCAAGCAGCAGCAGCAATGGAGTCTGCTGCACCTGGCTGGTGGCATGAGGCTCAGGGGCAGGCTTTTCAAAGCAGCAATTCTTTTTTCAAGAGAAACGTTACACAGAAACTCAAAATGGGCGCGGCAGTAGCTGCTGTTTCTGAAGCAGGCCTGTCTCTTCTCCTCCACTCAGTACCAAGGGGTATAGGCCACAGTTTGAAAACTGGAATTCATGGTCTTTCAAGTGCATTTCTTCTCAGGGCACGAATACCTCAGAAATTATGGGGTGGCAATTTAAGGCTATGTGACAGAATTCTGGAATGCACTCAACCTCCAAGGTTGAAAACAGGAGTGTGACCATGTACCAATATGAAAAGGAAGAGACACGTCACCTCGCTTTAGCCTAAGGATACTACCTCAAAATCCACCTTAAATTCTGCCCTAGAAACTGAGGAACTGTTCTATCTACTACGGTGCCTTCCCGAAAGCCTGGGGAGGAAGAGATGCTGACTCTGCAGACCTGAGTGGGGTAGCAGGTGGCATGGTCATGTGGCATGGAATAGACCCGCAGTGACTCTGAGGCACAGCTGGGGAAAGGGCCCCTGGGACAGGAGACGAAGGCAACCACGAGTAATTGGCAGGCTCTTCCTGTGCACAGTAAGTAACTGGGCAGAAAGTTTCTCTGCACCTTCCAGAGCCTTCAAACGCCAGGTGTGGCAACTGGACCAGTCCCTTTACCTCGCTAAGCACATTAGAGACCAGAGCTCTGGGCTGAGTGTCCTCTGGCATCTGCAGCTCGGAATGGCTCCTGGGATGATGTTCACTGCCCTGGGGGGAGCACCCCGTGGGGCAGCCCAGACCTTACCAGAAACCACCAACACTACACTGAGGTCAATCTAAGTTTCTGGGTGAGAGAAAGGGTCTATACGGCATGTCATGGCACAGCTTTCTACCTTGGACTTCATCAGACAGCAAGGTTCAGTAGAAGGCCCAGCCCTGGGTTCAAGGCTGGCCTTACTCCAAATCTGTGTGACCTCTGCAATCACCTGGCCTCCAAGCCTCTCCTGAGTATTAAAAACAAACATGTATAAAGAGCTCGGTAAAGAGCCTGACATGGAACCCGTACCTAGACAGTGCTGACAACCATTAGACATGTAACGGATCCCTTACCCTTTCTTTGGATGATCCTATTATCAAGCCAGATAGCCTGTTTTCAAACAAGTCCTCTGTCTTCAAATTGCCCGCAGCTCCAGGTAACGGAGGGAAGTTGGATAGCCCCAGCTCGAAGCTTGGCGACGGAGGCTTTGGTGGCGTTGGAGACTGCGTCTGGCTGCTCTGCAACAGAATGACACCCCAGGGTCATGGTATGGAAATAGAAGGCCAGGCAACTTCTCATTTCCACACCTGTTGGGAAAATATCTGTAAAAACAACACGCAGATCATTCAACCCAGACAAGGGCTTCCTCACCCAATCGAAGGTCCTCTCCCAAGCAGCTTCAACCGCCTAGAGCAGAGCTGTGAAACTGAAATCTCAAGGCTGCTGCCGCCCAAGAAACATGTCAAAAAGGACACAGTAAGGCTAAGGTGCCATCCAAAGAGCCATTCACCCATGGCTACCAGCACTCACGAACGGCAGGGCAGCTAAAGGCAAGAGAGGCGCTCTGGAGTGACTCCAGCCCATCAGATGGAAAGCAGGGCAGCCTGGGTCTAGACATTAAACTTTCCCATTTCCAGACAAGTATTGTGATTACACATAGTTTTTCATGTAAGTCACAAAGATAATTGTAAAAAACAAAATATGACACTTTCTCCACTCTCCACAACCTGTGTAAGAAATGTTACACATATTCATATCAAAAAAGTGGTTTAACAAAAGGGGAGCTTGAATTCTCTGAAAATCAACTTAAAGGTTTTATTTTTAAATAATTAAAAACACAGTATTTGATAACAAATTCTGATCAGATTCTTTGACTTCAAGAAAGCAAACTCAGTATAACAAGAAGTGAGTATACTTTGCAAGCCCAAATCTCAGGAGAAAGGCAATGATACCTTTTTATTGGAAAATGATCTATCGACCTGCTTTAACAAGTTGGCAGTCATTTTGTGAGTAAACAGTTCCTTGGCTGAAGGACACATGGCACAGAAAGCGGAAATGAGTTTCTATTTAGTTTAGAAATGAGTTTATGGTAACTAAAGAATACAAGTATTTTTGGTTGGAAAAATGAGCTACTTCGACTAGAATGCAAAGCTCTCTTAGAATTCACCTAACTTATACCACAGGCAGGTGATTCCCTACATCAGTAGATTCTAGAGAAAATATGCATGCCAGAACTCAAGTGAAAGCAGGTCAAAGGACGAAAATGAATTCAGGCTGATCCGAATCCCAGTCTGTGCTGGGCATTCCTCTTGTTTCTCTGCTCCATGGTACAGGCGCCTAATTTTAGCTTGGCTTTTCCCAGTTAGGTGCCCTTGGAAGTAAGCTTGTGCCTACTAAGTAGCTGTCAACTGGCTCTCTATAACCTAGTATTGCGAACACGATGCTCAAAGTAATCCTGCAAAGCTGTAAGTTACACATGGCCACTATGATGGCAAAGCAGTTTTAAACACCCTCGGCATGTTGCCGAGGTGACCATAGCTTTTCAGAAGATAAGCATTATTACAGACAACCTTCCCCAAAAATGTATTTAAATCTCAACTTGTAGAAGCAAAATGGGCCGGCAACAACCGTCCTGATGTTGGAGTTACAACAGATGGGGCTTCACTTGGAAGGCAGTGTTAAAATTCTCTAGGATCTGAGCGCCTCTTGGTGAGGTCCGAGTACTGGTCAGGTCCCATGAGCATGGTTAGACCCAAGGCTCACACACTTTTCAGCATCTGTACCTTTCTGAGGTCCTGAACACATGCACTGAAGACAATGAGCGTACACTCTGTCATCAGTACAACACGGGGCCACATGCTGAAGCTTCTAAGCAGGTCACAGTCATGAACACACGCATCAGCAAAGCAAAGCAAAACAAAACGAAACAGAAACGGCTGTGGGAAAACATCACATCAGGAACAACAGTGCCCCTGCGTTTCATAATCAATGTTTAGATGCTCGCCCTGTTAGTCCAAATGGTTACAGGAATTCACTAATTCCAACCGGAATTAACTGATAAAAACTACCTTACCAGGTTTGTTTGGTATAAATTAGATTTAAATATCTTGTAAAGAAGCATATGCTTTATGTACTCACTGTAAACTTCTCCTCCCTTTTCTTCCGGTAGCCAAAGGAATTCTTCCTAGAGGAGTGAAAAGTGAAAGATTGTTATTTTTTTCCCCCACTTGGGAGAATTTATTGTTGAGCGTGTTTGCGCTCACATAACCAAAGTACACATTAATTCAGTCTTTAACACTATCAAAGATGACTTTTGATTCTAAAATCCCAACTTTAAGAAGCATAAGCATAACAACACAAAGTTTACAGCAACGGAATAATGCAGGAGTCCAGAAGTAACAAAAAAGGAAAACACTGACTGAAGCCATCTCCCTAGTGCCTCTTTGGGATGTCTGTTGAGACATGAGTACTGAAGATCTACTGGGTCGAAATGACAAAGATACATAAAATACGAGCCTGAGCACCATCAGTGAGTTGTTTAAAATGGTGAGAATTTCTCCAATGCAGATTTGCTTTACATCAGAATTTAAAAGGCCCCAAACACCCTGTCCCATCCCTTTAGATTTAAATATCCTTTGCCCTCTCAGCTTCCACCACCACTACCTCAATGGCTGATCCCTTCCACGAAAGGCATGCAAGGACCTCTGTGCCCCAAAGACTTCCTGTCCCCACCCACGAGCCTCGGCAATCTTGTTCTGGATTGCCCCTGCAGGCAGCAAGGCCACACCACACACACAGCTGATAACCAGATGGACAGACACTGACTAGTGGTGACTTCACATGAAACCCTGAGACACTAGGATGGCCAAGACATTCTCATTTCCCTGGACAGGCTTATGTAATCTAACAAGTCACATGACACACATTAATTTCACTTTATAATTTAATAGAATGCAAAGACTCCCCCAAAGGCCTTGTGTTACATAACCTGGAAAGGAGTTAAGAAACAGTCTTAACTAATTCCTTCATTTACAGAAAACCAAAAAGTAGTCTTGCCTAAGATGGCCAAACATTGGAATACTCCGTGGACCCTGAGGATAGCCCCTCTGGGGGAAGGAAGCACAAACCTTTAGGGTTCTAGAGCAAACCCACGTTATCTCCTACAGGAAACATTATAGAAATAGCTCTGGCTCTCTACTGGGCCTGAGGAGACCGCAGGCTAGAGTATGGGATATGGATGGGCACTGAGCCACAGGCGGGGCACAAATCCTGGCAACCCTCCCTCCTGTAGGAATAGGTAGCTTGGTGCTCCTTGTCCTGGCCTGCATTATGGACAGCTACCGCAGTACACACCTAGCTCAGCACCACTCCCTAATTGAAGGTGCTCCCAAAACCCAGGGAGCTGAACTCCCACTCCGCTGTGCCAGGACTCAGAAGTAGCGGAAAGGTGGGGTGACACTGGCTCATGACCAGAGCTAGGGTAACAGCGGGATGAGAGTCTCGAGTGGGACAGGACTCAGCTGGTCATGGGGACCTGGTAGGGGTGTGAGATGGATGGTGCCAGCACCTGCTTGTCCAGAGTCATCACCCCGAGTGCCAAATGGAAGGATATCAGTAACATGGGAGAAGGATGTCCTGCAGGGCTCGGCACAGGGCATGCCTCTGCCAAGGGCAGCTTGCTCATCACTACTGGCTGGAACGCAGGAGCACCATCCCTTGGAACACAGTGGTGTCCAGGACACACACCTACCTGCCATAGGGTCCTATCCCAGTCACCATCAGTGGGCCCAGCCAACACTCCCACACCCTCGCTGGGCTCCACGTAACCCGTGTCAGACCCAGAAGCCCACCTTCGGCCTCAAAACACTGTCAGCTGTCAGTGCCCATTCGTGCAGAGAACAGGCTGGCCAAGCCAAGGCTCAGCAACAGGGTCATAGGGGGTTCCAGCTCATAAGGGGCAGCAAGGGAGCCAGGGTGTACCTGGCACCACTGAGGAAACATTACTGTGACACCCGCGACTCTGAACGTGGTGCTGTGAAGGCCTGAGACCCTGAAGAGGCATGCTTCCCCCAGCTGAACCTAACGGTAGCTCCACCAAGGAAGCAAGACACTTTGCGCCTGGGGCTCCTCATGCCATTCAATCCAGCTCCCACACAAGGGTAGGGAAGTGTGTCTGGACTCTGAGGCTGAGCCGTGCCCCGCCATGGCTCCCACACAAGGGTAGGGAAGTGTGTCTGGACTCTAAGAGGTTCACCAGGGCATCTTAGCACTTTGGTCCAATAGAGGAAGTTAATGGAAAAAAAACAAAGCCTCCCAAAAGGGGGAGGTTGAGGCACAGCTACTGTGGATCAGGTTTCTCAGGGGAAGCAAGGCCTGGAGCACCTCCCTGCGAAGCAGCACAAGCTCCTTCTAAAGACAGAGGGAAGGAGGAGGTTACAAGTCAGCTCTGGCTTCACGACCCATTGCAGAAACAGGCTGTGGGAGCCGCATGCACTTTCCCCGCCTATGGTGTCCATGTGATGTATGCTTCCTAAACCACTCCCTGCTGCAGTGCTTAGGTTTCGGGTGGGAGAACAGTCATCCTCATTTGGTGGGGAGACAGAGGGTCTCCACTGGTACAAAATCTGCATCTGTTAGGCAAAAGCATAAACCTGTTACAATTGCATTTGGAAGTGCAAGTCTTATTGAAAGGCAGACCACATTCGTTAGCAAGGTTTGGCCCCTCACCTTCAAAGCCACCTGTATACACTTTGTGAGGTGGCTGAAATTCAACAAACCCCACTCTCATTTGCCAGGAAGCTTCTAGTGATGCTCTTATGAACAGGGCATGCTGAAGGGCGCAGGAGGCTGAGGCCAAGGACCTTGTCCGACTAGTCTGCTTCCTTTCACACCATGCCCAAAACTGATGCCCCTCATAGGGAGCCGGATGGCTTTGATGAGTGGGGCTCTGCCCGAACTCTGAGACGCAGCTCTACAGGCCCCCTTTCTCCAAGCTTCTGGGCCCTAAGAACCCCAAACTAAGCCCCAGGGATAAGAGCTGCTCCCTGAAGTCGCTGACTCTGCATGACACAGTAGGCCCCTTTTGGCTTTGCATCTCCAAGGCCTGTTAAGCCAATCTGACGCCGTGTTTCCTGTGAGACACAGCCCAGTGCTGGCTCTCCCCAACCACGGCACCTTCCTACGCCACTGCGCAATCCCTGCAGGGCCTCCCATGTGCTCATTTAATCACCACAGGCAGGAAATGAGATGCTTCTCATGCCTCTTTATGTTGAATTCTCACTGCACAGGGCACGCGCACTGTAGCAGGTGGGAAGAGGAGCTTGCGCATGAGGCATGGCGCTGTGCACTTTGTGTACAGAAAACTTAGCAAAGCTCAGGAAGTCGAGTCACTTGCTTGTCACTTATGAGAGGAAACTCCTGATGGTCCTTATCAAGGCAAGGACTGAGAAGACTAACTGGCCTGATCAACAATGGTCACGTGAAGTGGCTCACACCTGTTATGCCAGCACTATGGAAGATGAAGGCGGGAGAATGGCTCTAGGCCAGGAGTTTGAGACCAGCCTGGGCAGCACAGTGAGACCCTGCATCTACAAAAAACTTTAAAAACAGCCAGGCAAAAAAAAAATAAAATAAGATAAAAAAATAAAAAAGACTCAGGGTGGGGGGGGGGGTCAAACACACAAACAAAAAAAGCCAGGCATGGTGTTGTGGATCTGAAGTCCTAGCTACTCAGCATGCTGAGGCAACAGGATTGCTTGAACCTAGGAGTTCAAGGCTGCAGTGAGTCATGATCACACCACTGTACCCCAGTCTGGGCAACAGAGCAAGACCCTGTCAAAAAAACAAAATCAAAAACCTGCTACAGTCTTGATGCCCCCCCCAAAATTAAACAAAACCAAAAACAGTGGGCAGAGAGCACAGCCACGACCCATCCTGGCTGGTCTCAACGTGGATGAGATGGGACTTGGTTACCTGCTCCAGTCTCCACCTGCAGTGCTGCTGCACACTCGGCTGGAGGGCGCCAGGCCAGGAGCCATGGGGCAGAGCCTGGACGCCGCCCTCACAGAGGGGCCTGGTGAGCCAGGGACACTGCTAAGGGAAGACTGCAGGCACACAGGGTGGAGTCTACGATATCTACAATATCTAAAATATCTACAGTTCTCACTGAGCTACTTTATAATACAAAAAAGGTGAAGCCATTTAAGTCTCAGCAATTACATAAATCCCTTTATGTTTATAGCCTTCTGTTAGATTTAGCAATATTTAAAGACAATTATAAAACATATCTAAATTAAAGAATTTCTAAAATATTAGTAGTTTATGATGGTACACAGTAGCTGCTCAACAACTCACCTTCCCCTCCCTAAACCAGGAGAGGATTCAAGACTGCTTGGCTCCACACGCCCAGGTGCAGCCTCTCTCTTGGCGTATGCTGAAGGGTTTTGTATCCGTGTTCTAGTTTGACCTGCTTGCCTTGTTTGTGGACTCCGGACACCATTAATTAATCGATCTGCAGTGAAGTTAAATATTGAAGGACTTTCTAATAACCCAGGTCCTCTCTCTGCACTAGGAATCGCATGGCGCAAATGAGATTTACTAGGATTCCTGTAAATAAAAATGGTTTCATGTGTTCAGTTATAAAACGATCAAGGTATTATATAACACGCATACTGACATGGACTATTTAAGCTGAAATCTGCCGTTTAATAAAAACAGGCTTTGGAATGGTTAACCCATAACGTATAGGATAATGCAAATCTATTAACAATGTGCCACCATCCTGCTTAGCTGATTTTCAGTCCAGGCCCAAACTGAAGGCAGGCACATTTAATGTGTACAAGTTGCCCCAAAGCCTCCTCTGAGAGAATCTATCCTTTGAGCAGGCACCCATGGCAGACTGTGGTGCTCAGTCTTTACAGAATATAGCTGTGTGCTTTTGGCAGCTCTGTCTGCAAGGAGCAGGACTAGTGATCAAAGCTCTCTCATCCCAGCTCTGGAAGGGCAGTAGGGTAAAGCCCAAAATCGCTAGGACTACCTCGGAACTTGCCTGCTTCGAGGAGGATACTGTCTGAGGGAAGTCAGAGGAGACGCTGCAGGCTTGAACGTTGGAGACGTAAATCCATTTATAAATCCAGTATTTGGAAATGGAGTTACCTAGATTCATTTGAAAACAGACAAGTAAATAAACTAAAAAACAGACTTCAATTTGATTAATACCAACAAATCTGTGGAAACCGAGTACATTTCTTGATCTTGTCAGGGTCATGACCCACGTTGAGACATGTATCTTATAATTTTAATGGATGTTGTTTAGAACAACCAATGGGTGTTGTTTAGAAGTAGGCTAGAGCTTTTCTACATCCTTTCAGCCAATCGTTGCAAAAATCCAGTGAGGAGGAGGAACGACACACACGGAAGCTGGCACTGAGAGGAGAGTCGTGGTCAAGACTGCGTGGGCTCCAACAGGTGTTGTGACCTTTGACACATCAGTCTGAAAAAGTCCAAAGGCTGTACTATCTCCATTACTGGCAGGAAGTCAACAGTTCTTGATTCCTGATGGCTTTAATACAACTTCTCAACGTCCTGAAGCTCAGGGACACCTGCACACTTACTGCTGCTCATTCAGCTTCATATACCCACAGCCTTGGACAGCGCTTTTACCTTTGCCTCGACACAAGTCCTGCTCTGCAGATCAGGGTATTTTCAGATCATCATTATTCCCTAAGTCACAAGGTAAGTATGGCATGCAAATATACTGACATAAGATTCAGAAGAGCGTTAGAAAGATCACAGAACCTCTAAAAGATCTTAAGTAGTTAAAAATATTAAGCATAGAATTTTAAGTATTGGTGAACTATTTCTAAAATCTAGACACATACAAAAATGAAATAAAACTTAGTGTTAAAACAGTTCCTTTAAAAAAAAAAAAAAAAAAAGAGATCAATCACTCTAATTCTCTGGCTTCTGGACCCATGGTTTCCAGTACGTTCTGAATCACTGACATTTTGCTCCTAATGCTCCTGACGCAGGGCACTTAGTTCCTGAGGGCCTTCCAGTCCACACCTTCCATGTCACTAAAGTAACAGAGATACACATAGACCCCCTTCTTGTATGGGAAAAAAAAAAGAAAAAGAAATACAAAAGGAAAAAAGCAAGTAATTCTCCTTAATTAGAGCTAACTGGAAGATAGAACAGAAAAAGAGTATTAGAGATAGTTTAGGACCAAAATAACATCATACAAAAGGGGAACACTTAAAACTTCATTAGAATCTCCAATTTGCTACTTGAGAAACTCTATATTCTGTAAGAATCAAGCTATTTAAAAATAAATCACACAAGAAGAGTCCTTAATGTAGACTTAGATATCAGGCTGTAAATCATGGCAAGAGCAGTGAAGACTAATCATTTCATGAAAGGCATTTTACAGGCAGAGCCCTGATATTCAAGTAATTTTGCTCAAGCTAAAAAATAAAATTGGTCATATATAAAAAAAAGTTGATTATTAACACAATAACTTCCTATTATAACTTGTTGGGGATTAATAGGCATGATCTCTTCGGCTGCAGAACAAGGGACACACGTTTTAGAGCAAGTGAAAGGCTGCGATGGAGAACCCAGTTTCACAGACCCAGAGCAGGACCAGGCGGCTGTCACACGCCACAAGGACAACGCACAAGACAAGACAAGGCCGTAAACTGATCCAGGACCCCACGAAATCCCAGTCAGCGTCAATCATGATTAAAGAAATGAGAGAAGCACCTGCTGCAGGAAGAATGAAATAGGACAAGCATGGCAAGCCACGTGCGGGGATGATTCTTCAACTGCCAGAGCCTACGGACTCAAGTCCCTCTGAGGTTCTCTCGTGATATGTTTTTGGGAAAAAGAAGTATTCAGCTATGTGTTCACTTTTACAGAATGTACTACTTCAAAAAACCAGAAACTTTTCTTACCATTAGGATTTACTCAAAAGAGACAGAAGGAACTTTGCCAAAGGTTCTTCTACTACAGTTGTTCCAGACTCAGGAGGAGACGGGGAACCTCTGAAAATCTCTCTTGACACATCCTGTCCCTGCCTGCCCTTCACATGGCCGTAGGACCTATTTTCTATTTTTTTTTTCTTTTATAAGAAGCGGGGTTTCACCATGTTCGCCAGGCTGGTCTTGAACTCCTGACCTCAGGTGATCCGCCTGCCTCAGCCTCCCAAGGTGTTAGGATTACAGGTGTAAGCCACTGCGCCAGGCCAGGACCTATTTTCTAAATGGAGTATGGTTTCATTTCTCTGCTTAGAAACCTTAGACAACTTCCCACAGCACCAGGCCAAAGCACACATGCCTCAGAATAGCTAAGCACCTGCACAGTTAGGCCTGGAAACATCCAGCTGGCTCCCGAACTCCCTGCCACCTATCTACGCTTCAGCTCAGACGCCCACAAATCCATGACCATCTTCTGTTCATGCAACTTCTCTTTGATTCCTTCTGAAAAAACTCAACCTGAAAAGCTCGACCTGGATTACAACACGATCCCTGACGACACTGTCGGTTTCTGGTATTCTGTACCTGTGCCTCCCTGGCATGCTTGATTTTCCAGCCTGAGTTGTTTCATGGACCCTTATTTTTACTCTCCAGTGTACACAGGCGCTGTTTTCTCAAGTTCTCTCTGCTCTGAACCTACCCTCCTTTCCCGCCTGTCAGCAGTGATGTCCCTGCACATCTGGGTGCCTGACTCCCAACCACCGGATGATCCTGAGGGACCACCAAGTCTTTTCCTGACTTAGTCTACAGCAAAACCCTGGACACGAACTCTTTTCAAAGCTAGTAACTCAATTTCTGCTTTCTGACCATAACCTTCTATGTATTCTACCCTTCGATCTCTCTAATTGCAACTAACCTGCATTGCTACCTCATGCAAACCACTAGTCCATAAACCATCTTCACTTCTTAACCTAGACTTCAGTTTCAAGGACATGCTTATCAGTGTACTGCTGACTCTCATACATCCAGAGCCACCAAACTCATGCTAATTCCCACCAAAGACCCGCCTGATCTTTCAAGCATCTATAGCAGCACACACAGAGAAAATGTCTAGACCCAGTACAGACTCAGGAATGCCAACCACGGGCCTTCACAAAGGCCAAAATCTATAAAAAATTAATCATGTCAACCAACTCTAAGGCTGTTGAGAAGTGAGTAAAATAAGGCTGGTGAGACAGCAGGCCTTCTTGTCCTTGCTGTCAAAAGCCTATTCAACCCCTCTTCCACCTCAGTCAGTCCCCCTTGCACTGTCCTCCGTGTGGCGGACACAGGGTACATTACAGCTCTTAGCGAATTCTGTGTCTTGCTAAGAGGTGCGTCAAGAGGGGAGAAGGGCTGGGCAAGGACTGTGAGCCCAGCAATCCAACGTTCTTTATGTACAAGCTCTGTTCTCAGCTAAATTTAAAATCCCCCACATAACTTGAAGGTCTCTTTTACTATGTCAGACTGCACACGTGTCCGGCTTCCTATTAGATGAGGATTCAAGTATCTAGCATAGTGTCTACAACATAAATTCCAAGTAACGAAAAGACTTACCAAGGGTGGGTCGAGATAGCTGTGTGTTGCTGACCACGTCTGGGGCGTGATCAGGCTGTACAGAGGGAACTGTTGCTGGGGGCTGTACATGGGAGGGAAGTAGAACGATGTCGCGTAGCGCTGCTGGGCGTACAGGCTCACGTCCAGGGGTCTAAATCCATTCTTTGGCAAAAATGTGTTTATAGCTATCGCCTTTGCTTTAATCCGCGCCTGTTTGAAAATATGCAAGTTTCTATTCGAATACTTAAGAACACCAATTTGCAAATAAACCAAGTATAACCAATGGTCTTGCTTACCTTAATTGGTTTTCCTTGAAAAGTTTTGACTTCTTCTCGAAGGTATTTATAAGCCTAACGGCAAAATAAAGTGCAAAGTTCCATTCAATTAACCTTATGAATAAGATGCACGAATAATTCACTCAGTAGCTCAAACAGGGAAATATATAATTAAATTACGGTGAACAGAACCTAGAATAACGATTCTTGACACTCCCTGGGTCACAGATCCCTTAAAATAACGGTATAAGAGCTATGTAATGTATACCCCAAATTCTCACAAACAAGATTATATACAATTTTCTAAGTATTAATGGATACCACAGAAGTCTCCCAAAGACCACTGGCTAAGAATCTTGATCTGGCGGAAAATGATGAATACTTAGTTCCTGGCATGAATCCCAATTTCAGGTTAGGAGTATGCAGTTCAGGAAATACCAGACAGGAAGGAAAAGGGTTATGATCATAACATTCAGAAGTCATTCTTTACATATCTCCTTGTTCTTCTCCACATTAATTCTACATTAAACCCCTATAAAACTGTGAAGGCTCTGCATCTCTGATGCAATCTCGTCTGACCACATTTGCCATGCAGACTAGCAGAGCTCACACTCTGCTCCACAAACATGGTTATCTTCCATTCCCCTTTCCCCCTTCCATCCAATTAAAACCCATCTTTCAGGTTTCTGTGTTTTCTTTTCGGAACCCCAGACATTGTTTATACCATTTAATACTTTATATAATATATGTGTTAGTTTCCCCACAAATAAGACGCTTCCCTTAAGGGGAGGAAAACTACTAACCCCTTACATCTCCTTACAGAGCTTACTTCTCAATACCATTAAAAGCATCTTCCAGCATACAATGATGTCCGCTGGAAGATGAAGATTAAGTTCAAATTTCCCCGCAAACACTTTGCAATTAGTGAAACTTTTCTCTGCCCAGACAGAAGAACAAAACTGATTTTCCAAGGTTGCTTTGCTTACAATGTTCTTAGAAAGTCACATGCTTTTTATATTACTATAAAAACTGTCTATACAAAGACATTCATTTAAGTTTCTACAACTTGGTTTCCTCTGCCGATTATATTGCAACTTCCCATCACAAGTCAACTCAATGGCAAGTAGTCCCCACAGGTACCAATACCAAAGACAGGTGAACTATGCACTTCATACGGTGACGGTAGAAAGAACTTACCTGTTGTGCATCAGCTTCTGTTTCAAATGTAATAAACCAATTATCATTATAGGCAAATTCACAGTTTATAAATTTCGGTAAATTATCTCCTTTAAATAGTGCTTCTACTTCCTAAGGGAAATAGAGATGTTAGAAATTAATTTTCAACAATGCCACTTTTCATCCTCACCAAAAATTTTCTTAACAAATGCATTCTCTTAAGGAGCTATTCTTACACAAAGTCTAACATACCATGATGCCTAGTAAATCTGTCTTCCGAAAAGGATGAGGATTCAGTGGGGCTTCCAGAATCAGAATCACAATGCCATAGAGAAAAACAGTTACACAACCTACAGCTTCTCCTACTCTCAAGACACCGTTGAGCAAATTAATGTGAAAACCATCACATCATTTTCTGGGCTAATTGTATGACTTAAAAAAAATAAAAGGTAATTTAAGAAAAAAAAATTGCTTGGACTTTTGTTTCTAACCACGATGAGCTAGATTCACTCTCCCAGATGCGTCAATTTAAAAACCAAAGAAAAAATACATGAAGTAACGGTTTCAGGCCCTGAACCCCAGGCAGTACCTGAGTGTGATCCCCGAGAGGGACATGAACAAGAACAAGGCGGGTGGCCCTCAGTGCCTGGGCTGCAGAGACGGCAGGGTGAACCTGCAGATGGCCTTCCCCACATCTTCAGCCTGGAGGATGAGAGGGAGCAAGCCCAGAGCAGGCTCACCCAGAGAGGAACGGTTTGTTTTCCCAGTAGCCAAAATGGAAAATTCTCCTAAATCCACAGGATAGCAGGGACAGTACTCAGAAGAGCACTGCTTCAGCAGTGGGGAAAAAGAGCCCTAGAGAAAAGGCTGTTCTGATTCTACCTAACATGTTGGTTCCAATTAATTTAACTACATTTCAAAACAAAGCTCAAGAATGTTTATCAAGAATGTTTATTAAAATGCAAAATATTCCATAAAGTAAAACACTTACTATATATACATTTCATAGTCCATAAAAGGAAAGACTAAGCATATTAAATATATATGGGAGATTTTTTTTTTATAAAAGACCCAAAGTAACTTCACTGGAGATGAAAAACACAATGTCTGAAATTAAAACTACACTAAGTAAGATCAACAGCTGACTAAACACTTTCTGAAGAAAAGACAAAAGGGAGAACATTTAACAAAATAATGGCTCGATAAATTTCAAGTACCAGAAGCTTGAAAACTATACCAAAGCGTATTGCAATCAATTTGCTTAAAACCAGTAATAAAATCTTCACAGCAGCCAGAGAAGACTTATCACATACAGAAGGATGGAGATAACAACCACCACAGAAAACTTATACCAGAATAGAGAATATCTTTAAAACACAGAAAGGGAGGAAAAAACCCCATCAATCCAGAAATCCATATGCAGCAAAAATATCTTTCATAAATAAGGGTGAAATAAAGGTTTTCCAAACATAGTAAAGCTGAAAAAAAAATTCATCACCGGCAGACCTGTCCAAGACATGCTAAAGGAATAACCAGGCAGAAGGAAAGTCCAGATGGACATAAAGCACTGTAAATGGTAAATATTGAATAAATATAAAACACGTTTTTCTTATTTTTAATCTAAGAAATGACTTGTTTAAAGCAAACATAACAACGATGTATTGTGAGGCTTATGACTAGATAGAATTAGAATGTATGACAACAGCATAGGTCAGAAGTGGAGAATGGGAGCGCATGGCTGGACGGTAAAGAGGCAAGGTGCTCTGTGAATTACACAGAGTCTAGTCAAATTAGGGGGTCAGCTAAAAACCCTAAAGCAGGGGCGTCCAATCTTTTGGCTTCCCTAGGCCACATTGTAAGTAGAAGAACTGTCTTGGGCCACACATAAAATATACTAATGATAACTGATGAGCTTTAAAAAAAAAAAAAAAAAAATCTCACAATGTTTTAAGAAAGCGGATGAGTTGTGTTGGGCCGCATAGGGTTGGAGAGGCATGCCCTAAAGCACCATTAAATAACAAAAAACAAAGAGTTATACCTAATAAGCCAAAAAAAAAAAAAAAGAAGATAAAAATATACATTTAATCCCAAACAAAAGGAGCAAGAGTGGCTATATTCATACCAGATTTCAGAGGAAAAACAGCACCAGGAAAAGAAGGGCCATCCCATAAAAAATTACTAGCCAGGTACACTTCAAAAAGTACAAAAGGAATTGAACAACCAAAATGAACTACAAAAATGATTTCCAGGGATTCTAATACCTTATGTTGTTGTCTCATCTCTGGCAAATGCTTACTTGTTAAAAGATAAAACACACACACACACACACACACACACACACACATCAATGCAAAAGTCATACTTGACTAATGGTAAATTAGGATTATGACTTTTAAACTCAACCAATAATACTTTAAGGCCACTAGACTATCAATCTACTGGTGGCAAAAATGGTTTACTCCTCTGCCTCTGGGAAAATCCTACTTTTAAGAAACTCAGAATCAGTATTTAAAATGTACTAATCACTGACAAGCACCTAGTTACATCTAAGGAAGAATCTTCTGGAAACTCCTGGCCTACACTTCTAAGACCCAGTAGAAGGGTGTTATAGAGTCTTTGGGAACTTATTTTTTTTCTTATGTGGATTGTTTTGGCCTACTTATTTTCCTTCCCTTTTGTCCACAACTTTTAATTTTTATTGAAGAGTTTTCTTTAAGCCTTCTCAAGACTTTCATTGCTCAAGTTTTGCAACAGACATTAAGGTCAGCAGTTTTGAATAACAGAACTCCAAAATCAATGTCCACTGTTAAATGCAAAAAATTCTTCTTGGTTAAAGTTTTATAAACATTTCAAGTCTTAAAAATTAGGATCTATGTTTTAAATATTACTTTGAATTAATACAGATGTCCAAATTAGCCATAAGAAATATGCTTGTCCGTCATATTCAGACCCTTAATAAAATATGTATATATATATTTTTATATTTTTATATATATATATATTATCCTGAATTCTTTTTTTCCACATATTAGAACTAGTGAAGACAGCCTGTGTTGAAAAGAAGGTAAAACTTGCTAGAAAAAGACCATACTTATATGAGAGTTATAGAATTTCTTATGCTAGGCAGACAACGTGGTTGGAATCCTAACCTTTGTCACATGCGAGAACTGTTTTCCTTAAAAAAAAAAAAAAACCCTCACACACACTAACCCACTTGTACCGAAAAACTAAATCTTGGAAGCCTGAGCAGCAATGTCGATTTGCTCTACAGAGAAGGTGTGTGGGAAGATGCAGCATGAATGACTGAGGCTGAAATCATGTGAGATGTCAGACGAATAACAAACCAGGATTCCTGTGTTCTGCGAGTCCCGAGACGGCAGATTCCCTTTTCTGAGGCAGAATAAACTACGTTCCCAGCACCTGACATGAAGACTGGACTTTATGATCTCAAGCGTAACCATCAGTGTGTTTACTACACAAAGCAACTTAGTTTAGGCATTTGGGCAAATAGCAGATTTTACAGCAACATATAACAGTAGATTGCTTTTCATTACTTTTAAGCTATCAAATACCATGGTTCCCTAAAATTACTGCCCAAGTTACTGGTTCTCTAAGAGTGGCTGTGCTGGCTTGGACTAGGCCACACTGGTGGCTCAGAGTTATTCACAATGTCCCTCTGTCATAAAAATACTTGTTTTGAAAGTTATTGATCACAAAAGTGCTCTTTATCGTGATTTGTGCGTTTACTAATCTTTTTTTTTTTTTGAGACAGAGTTTCACTCATGTTACCCAGGCTGGAGTGCCATGCCCAGCTAATGTTTTGTATTTTTAGTAGAGACGGGGTTTCACCATGTTGACCAGGATGGTCTCGATATCTTGACCTCGTGATCCACCCGCCTCGGCCTCCCAAAGTGCTGGGATTACAGGCTTGAGCCACTGTGCCCGGCTAATCTTATTTTCTAAATATTTAAATGTGTTATTTTTAATTGCTATAGTAATGGATAAACCCTCACTATCTTTAGTATAAAGGAGTCCTGGGATCAAAAGGTTTGGGAGTCGTTGCCTCCTACTCTGTAACTCTCAGTGTGTGTAAATCCTGGGAAAACAGTATTAATAAGAATTCAGTCTACAAAATACACAGCCCCAAAAAAACATAAAAGTAAAAATAAAAATAAAAACCAACAAAGACCTTCAGGAAAACATCCAAGTAACCTTCAGTGGAGAAATTACTTACTTCCACAGGGGTAGATTCAGAGATTTCACGCAATATTACTATGCAGCGATTTTGATTTGGCCTTACTTTTTCTCCCTTTTCATCCACTTGGACTAAAGGCAAAGCTATAAAGAAAAGAAAAATCAATGGTAAAACAAAAATACTAAAATGTGATATGCCAGTGGAATGTGTTACACTGTATAGTATACTAAATAAGCTAAAGAAATCTGCAAACACTGGGCAAACTGTCAAAAATTTTGCTAGCCTAACACAAAAGGTTTAAACCAATCTCACCTGTTAAATTTTTCAAAACTATGGACATTTAAAAATCCTACAAGAGCTATAATGTATGCAAGAGTATGAAACAAAGGTTCTAAACCGGTCAAGTACTAAAGGCAGATTAAAATACAGGGTTAATGGCTTTCTCCTTTCCACAAGTACCTAAGATGAAATAATCTTGTCTTCTTATAACTGATTCGGTAAGCCCTTTGCTGGCTCGCTGATGATGCTCTCTTACCCAACGGCCAGGCATTGTTCACACTAGGGTGCTCACGTGGCTGCAGCAATAGGCCTAGTTTAGATTTTGCAGTTTTTACATAAACTTTTATTGTGTTCTGGTATCACATCTATGAAATTATGCAATGCACAGATTCGAGTCACGGCACGTAATGATCATAATTAGGGCTCAGAGGTGCCCACTGTTGCAAAGACGCAAACTAACAGCATCAGGAATGGAAATGGGCAACATCATTACAGGTTCTATCAACAGGAAAAAGATAACAATGGAATATTATAAAAAAGTTCACACTAATAAATTACATGAAATAGAAACATTTCTTTAAAGACACAAAACACCAAAGCTTACTCTACAAGAAAGGTAACTGGTGCATGACTATAACTTAGTTTTTATATCTTAATCTGACAAAAGATACCAAAGACTTGTATGCTGAAAAGTGCAAAACACTGCCAAGAGAACATTTTAAAGACCAAAATAACGACATACTCTGTGCTTGTTGGTTGTAAAACTTAACATTGGTAGAATCGGTAACTTCTTCTCAAGTAAATTTACAGAATCAATGCAATCCCAATAGAAACACAAACAGAACTTTTTGAAAAACTGTCACAATTATTCTAAAATTTATACACAAAAGCAAAACATGTAGGCAAACCACAACAAAGCTGGAGGATCCGTCCTACTTTAAGACTTAGTATAACATTACAGCGATCACGATACTACAATGTCTTTACTAAATCAGAAAAGTAATCAAGGGAATAGAACACATGTTCCAGAGATCAACACCCAGGTGCACGGGCAGTCAATACAAGGGCCCAGACACTCGTGGTGCTGTAACAGATGCACTCAGGATCCACACCCCATACCATGTACAAACATCAGCACAACACAGATCACAGACTCCAATGTTCAAATGTAAAACATAAAACTAATATAAGGAAAACTATCATAACCTTGGGCCAAGCAAAGATTTCTTATGTGCAACACCAAAAGCAAGATCTGTAACAGGAAAAAAATTAACAAATTAGACTATATAAAGAATTACTACTTCTGCTTCTTGAAAAACACTGATAGAACAACAACAACAACAAAACAGTTGTAGACTGAGAGAGCATATTTGTTAAACACGTGTGTGATAAGGACTTGTATCCAGAATACCTGAAATACATATTAACGTGCACACACATACATCGTTGACAATGTGATCAAGGAGCAAAGCAGCATCTTTTTCAATGAGTGGTGCTGAACTACTCGACATCCATATGCAGAAAATTAGTCCAGATGCAGACCTGGCGCCACCATTCATAAAAATTAACACAAAAGGAATCATGAACCTAAGTGTAAAATGCAAAACCATAAGTCGTACAAAACACAGGAGAAAATCTAGAAGACCTTGGGTCTGACAATAACTTTTTAGATACAACACCAAAGGCTTCATCCATGAAAAACTTCATTAACATTTAATACTTCTGTTCTGTGAAAGGCAATGTCAACTGGATGAGAAGACAAGCCATTGACAGATGGATAGTTGCAAAAGATACATCTGATAAAGGACTGTTAACATCAAAATACAAAAAAATCTAAAAACCTCAACAATAAGAAAATGAACAAACTTGGCTGGGCGTGGTGGCTCATGCCTGTAATCCCAGCACTTTAGAAGGCCAAGGTGGGCAGATCACGAGGTCAAGAGACTGAGACCATCCTAGCCAACATGATGAAACCCCATCTCTACTAAAAATACAAAAATTAGCTGGGCGTGGTAGAACACAACTGTAGTCCCAGCTACTCAGGAGGCTGAGGCAGGAGAAGCGCTTGAACTCGGGGGGTAGAGGTTGACGTGAGCTGAGATGGCGTCATTGTACTCCAGCCTGGGTAAGAAGAGCAAAACTTGAGAGAGAGAGAGAGAGAGAGAGATACAGAGAGAGAGAGAGATACAGAGAGGGGGGGGGAGAGGGAGAGAGAGAGAGAGAGAGAGAGAGAGAAAGAATATGCAAATTAAAACATCAATGAGATGCCACTGCATAACTATTAGAACGGCAAAAATCCAAAACAATGATACCAACAAATGCTGGCAAGGATGTAGAGCAATAGGAACTCTCATTCACTGCTGATGGGAATGCAAAGTGGTACATCCACTTTGGAAGACAATTTGGTGGTTTCTTATTAAACAAATCATATTTTTAGCGTATGATCTGGCAATTGTGCTCCTTGGTATTTATCCAAAGGTGCTAAAAAAATTAGGTCCATGCAAAACTCTGCACACAGAGTTTATAGCAACTTTACTCATAACTGCCAAAACTTGGAAGTAATCAAGATGTCCTTCAGTGGGTAGATGGATAAACAAACTGTGGGACATCCAGACAATTAACTATTATTCAACACTAAAGGAAATGCTCTATCAAGCCATGAAGACATGGAGGAACCTTCAACGTATATTGCTAAGTGAAAGAAGCCAATCTGAAAAGACTATGTCCTATAGGATTCCAACTCTACGACATTCTGGAAGGGATCAGTGGTTTCCAGTGATTAGGGGGAGGGAGGGATGAACAGGTGGTGCTCAGAGGATGTTTAGGTCAGCAAAATTATCCTATATAATACTGTAATGGTAGACACATGTCACAATACAGTTGTCCGAATCTACAGAATACACAACACGAAGTGAACCCTTATGCAAACTGTGGACTCCAGGTGATAATGATGTGTCAGTGTAGTTTCATCAGTTGTAAATGTTCCTCTGGTGGGGAATGTTCATAAGGGAAGAGGCCATACATGTGTGCAGGTACTATATGGGAGATGTCTCTACTTTGCTCAGTTTTGCTGTGAGTCTAAAACTGTTTTAAAAAATAAAGTCGACTTCTAAAGAAAGGACTCAATTGTTACTAAAACTAATAAAGTATGTGTGGGACTTCTTAACAGACACTTCTGCAAAGAAGAAAAAGGAAGGTAAATAAGCACATTAAAAAAATGCTCACCTTCATTAACCATTAGAGAAACGGAAGTGAAAACCTCAATAAGATACCACTATCCAGTTATTAGAAAACATAAAATTAACATGACTACATACCAAGCATCAGAAGTATATGGGGCAACTGGAGCTCTCATCCCTGCTGGTGGTGGCCAACTGTAAAATGGTCCAACCACTTTGGAAAACAGATGGGCAGTTTCAAAGTTAATCATACAGCTAACCACGCAATCCAGACATTCCGCTTCTGGTTATTTACCCGAGACAGAGGGAAGCACATGGTCACACAAAGACTTTTACACAAGTGTTCACAGCAATTTGTAGTGGTCAAAACCTGGCAATAACCTAAATGACTATAACTAGTAGGTGCATAAACCAACTGGGACTATCCACTCTAGAGGATACTTCCCAGCAAAAAGAAGTAATCACCTACTAATCCAGTAAACAAAAAAATAGTTATGCCTGACCAAAAGAAAGTGATATTGCATAATCGACTCCATTCACATCAAATTTGTAAACACTACAAACTAATCTGTAGTGACAGGAAGCAAATCAGTGGTTGCCGGGAGAGGGAGTAGAGAGGAAGCTTGGCGGGGGCAGGCTATGGTGGCTATGTTTGGTATTGTGATTGTGGTAGTTTCATGGGTGTATAAATATGCACACTTAGAATGTATAGTTTATGGTATGTAAATTCTACCTCCATACAGCAGGGGTGATACCCTCTGCACTTCACTCCTTGCCCAACTCACCTCCCCCCATGATGCGACAATGAATCCCATTATGCTTTCACACCACCTCTGTGCTCCTCTGAACCCACAAAAATCCCTGTGCTTCAGCTTTACACAACCCCAAGCTTTATATATATGGTATCATCTTGCACAAATTTGGAAACATGCTTTTATAAACATTCTCATTTTAAAATTTATTCTTGTTGGAATATGTAGTTCTAGCTCACTGTAACAGCTCTGGTACTCACTGTGTGAATGTAACATAATGTATTTATTCTGGTGACAAATATTTTAGCATGTCTTTTTAATTGGCAGTTTCAGTTATATTAAGGGTAAAAACAGTACTTGAATCAGACATACTGGGACACACACTGTATGTGCATTATGATATTAAAAATAATCTAGAAATGTAACTTACACAACTTAATACAAGAGCTGCAGTATTCAAATTAAAGTAAAATCATTCAGACAATCTTGAGTTTCATTTTTAAAAAGATAAAATTAAATACTCATCAAGCATCTGCTATGTGTCTGAGTCTTTGCTAGGTATTTTGGGCACAAGATTTAAACATAAGATGAGATCAGGCACAGTGGCTCTCAGCACTTTGGGAGACTGAGACAGGCAGATCACTTGAGGTCAGGAGTTTTAGACTGGCAATACTACATGGTGAAACGTTGTCTCTACTAAAAATACAAAAAATTAGCTGGGCATGCTAGGGTACACTTATAATCCCCAGCTACTTGGGAGGCTGAGGCACAAGAATCACTTAAACACGGGAGGCAGAGGTTGCAGTGAGCTGAGACGGCACCACTGCACTCCAGCCTGGGTGACAGAGTGTGATTCCATCTCAAAAATAAATAAATTCATTGATTTAATTTAATTAAAAAAAAATATGATGAGAACTTTGCTCCTGTGGACCTACTGATGACATCTTCATCCTCTTCAGAACTACAATTAATGTGATAAACTTGCTAACTATAATTCTTATCACTCAGGTTCTTACAAAGGCATGTACAGTTCTGTCCAAAAATTGAGTGAAAAAAGACAAAATGAGAAACTAAAGGGCTAAGTGCAAATGGATAAAAGGTTAACAGTCATAAAGAAGGTGGGAGCAGCTGGGGTAAAATAGGTGATGAGGCTGCTCTGGATCGCCCATGGGAAGATGGGCTCTCTTAAGCAACCACAGAGAGCAATTTAATATCTTCATGGTTGGTGGAAACACCCCTTGCCACTAACAACTGAGAAATCATCTCAGTAGGGTAGCAGTGTTTGCAAGGTCTGTCCTAAAAGGAATAACTAAACCTGGAACTCCTAATCATAACCAAAAAGACTTCAGAGTATAAACAGGGATAAAAATGCTGCTGGCCTTTCAAAGACGGAGCGAAATTCAGCTGGCATAGACAACAGCTTCTGTTCTGCATGGTGACACCAGGGAGAAGAGCGCCATCCTGGGAGATGGCAGTGCCACTCTCAGAATTCACAGTCAATGGTAATTATGTTTGTCAGTTTCCTCACTGTCTCCGATAATCTAATAACCCATGACATTTGTCTAAAAACAGAAAAATAGAAGACTTTTATTTGTGATAAAAAAAAATCCAACTAAGTTTTAAGGTAAGATGCTCATCTTTTTATACTACTTGTAAAGTCATATCCACACAAGAAAAAAAAATCTGCAGTCTTCAGCAGAGCTGCTAAGCCAGGGACAAGGTGAAAACCTTCTGTGTTAGTGTAGGAGTGGACTTAAATGATACTTTAAGTCAGGCTTAGTGATGTCCAATCACTCAAAACTAAGTAGTAGGCACCACCTGCACTTAATGCTTAAACACTGTTTGATATTGCCAAACTTCAAAGAAACAACTTCATCCAAAACATAATTTTAAGAAAAATGCAAAAATATTTCATCAAAACATTAACAGGAAGTTGCAATTTGAAAGAAACTCCTTTAGTGGCAAAACTGTAATTAAAATGTATTTTACTTTAACTATAAATGTTATTTTTATTTTCTTTTTTATGAATGAAACATCTGTCTTTAAAATCCCCATTAAAAATATTCCTTTTCTATTTCATATGACCAAAAACTTGTTTGAGGTTTCATGATGGATTCAATTGGCACTCCCTGGGACTATCAGGCACTATTCCAGAATTACTGGACCTGGGCAGGAAGGAATGAAAGTCCAGAGAAGGATGTGATTTGCCATCAAGAACCTTAACATTTGATAGCTATAGGTTTAAAGGTTCATACTGATAAGACAAATAATCTAAAGATAAGCATTATTAATTTAACCTTGTCATTTACTTACATCTTAGCACTTCCACAATCAAGTCGACATCAGTGCTGAGCTTCTTGATGTGGTCAAGGTTAGCCACCGTTGTGATTGGCACATACTGGTCACTATCCATCTGTGATATAAGATACATGTCACTAGCAAGGTTCTCCCTGTTGAAAGAAAACAATCTCCTTTAATCAATATTTCTTTAAAAGGAAGTTTCACCTACAGCAATTCCAGTTTCACAAGAGCCGTGAGTGTGGCATGGTATCGCTTTGGAGGTAAATCTGAGCCCAGGGTCCATCTGTTATTTGCTGTCTCTCTGGCCTCAGGTAAATTTTTTCAGAATCTCTGCCTTGGAGAGGCTGGGAGAGCACAAGTAAAAGTATACTGCACTTTCTACAATCAAAATTCATGAGATGATGATTATTTTTACATAAGATGTAACTATTGATAGCTCTCATTTTTGTCCTGAAAAGTATTTGAGGAGTTTACTAAAAACACATACAATTTTGTCAGGCCAGCCATGGTAGCCTTTGCCTGTAATCCCAGCACTTGGGAAGCCTAAGCAGGCAGATCACCTGGAGTCTCCCGGCTACTCGGGAGGCTGAGGCAGGAGAATCACTTGAGCCTGGGAGGTGGAGGTTGCAATGAGCCAAGACTGTGCCATTGCACTTCAGCCTGGGAGACAAGAGTAAAACTCTGTCTCAAAAAAAATAAAAAAATTTTTTTAAGTAAAGAAATCCAGCTGAATGAACAAGAAGGGAAAACATAAAAAGCCATGTGGAACAGGATGGGCCAGGATAAGGTCATTCCCAAAATTCTTCCTGTAGACTCTGGAGCACTCACTAGAGAGGTTATATCCAGTCCTGGCTTCCTAGCAGCCAGAATTCAAAAGAAGGAAACAGAATCAGTAGCTTTACCCAAAAAATCCAAAGGTGAGCCATAAATAATCAGCAGTTTGGGCCAAGATGAGCTATTTTCTGGTGTTTTGGCCAAAGATCAATGTTTCCTGTGATTTCTCAAGAAAAGACATTGTGTAATGTACTGAAGAAGGCCCAAAAAACATTTCAAAACTGAGCATAGTGCTGGGTTCCTGGAGCCTCTGCTCAGTGTCCCTCGGTGAAGGCCCATGACTGCCAATCAAACGAAGGACATGCAGAAAGAGGCCCTGTTCCACCCTCATCTCTGGGGCCTTCCAGGTGTAGCTGATTCTGGCCCCGTGGGACTACAGACAGGCGTGAGTGGCAGAGAGCTCACACTTGTGCTCCACTAGGGTGCTCAACTGGTACCCCAGCACCTTTTGTGTCTACTGTGTCATGGTCCGGGTTCGCTCAGGCTCCAAATGTGGAACAGCATGGGCATGGGGAGAAGGCCAGCAAAGCCCCTCACACCTCCACCTCACACGGCCACACCAGCTTCAAGGAGCCCCTAGCAGACACCTGTGTGGAATCCTCAGGGCTCCAGAGAAAACACGTGGAAAATCATCATCACTGACAGAAAATCTTACACAAGCCCAACTGGTTTATCGTCATACTTGGAGAAATTACATCAAACCCAATCCCATTTTCCTTTATGTCCAGTTCTGCCATTGGAACTTTAAAGGTTTTACTAAGAAAAAGGTATTATTCAAGGGAAAAATTATTAAAATTGAGTGTTACATAAGTAAAACAAGCTGCTATCTCAGTATGAGGTGTGTTTTCAGAAACAACATAGCACCTTTGTTCTCAAATTTCAGTGTGATGAAGAGTCTGATTCAGCAGCACAGGCCAGGCCAGGCCAGGCACGGCATTTCAGACAGCACTTCAGACGGTGACTGCCAAGATCACTGTGGCCTCAACTCTGGGGACCACTGACATGAGGGTTACCTTCCATTCTCAAATGTCAAAAGATAGCTATTACTCAATACTCCACATCATATATATATATATATATATATATATATATATATATATACACATTTATATGGATATGAGTAGATACATACTCTTTCACAAAATCTTATATTTGTATGTAACTTAACTATTTGTACAGTATCAGAAATATCAGGTACTAGAAAAACCATCACCAGCCTCACCTAGATAAGCAGAATTCCAATGTTTTTTTAAGTACTTCTCGGGGGTCTTCCTGGCTTTCTGGTTGAGACTCATTTCCTCCTACAGAAAAGTAACGATCAACTTAGGAAAAATGGCTTAAAATTTAGGAAGCAGACAATTCAGTACAGCAGTTGTAATGCTTTCAAATTCTAACACAACTACATAAGTGCATATTGAGGATGAAAAATGCTATTTTACCTATCAAAAAGTAAATCATGTAAAAAAAAAAAAAAAAATCTACCCCTTTATTCCCCAAAACAAAACAGCACAGTTTAGAAAAATAATCTAAGTCTCATAAGCAGTTTAACAAGGGCTTTTTTTTTCTAACCAGGAATCACAATTGTAAGCTTAGTTAAAGTCTTGTCTCAAAAGGAATTTTCAAGTAACCTACACACACACAGACACTGAACAATAATAAAATATAGAGGAAAAAATTGAAACAACAACAAAAAGGATAACAGGCAAAACCAAACAAATAACAGCAACAACAAAAAACCCCAGGCTGGAGATCATAAACACACAGTTCCTAGGACTAGACAGTTTCTACAACAGAGGCTTAAATTTGCCTTTAAAACTTCCAGATAGTCAAAGGAACTGAGGAATTGTTGTGTTATACAGTTCTTATAAGAGAATGATAAATAAACCAGATCTTCAAGAGGAAACAAAAGCTGGTTCTAAATCCTGGAAGAAATTTCTGAGAGGACGCCAGAGGGCATGGTGTGTGTGGTCACAGGGAGGACAGGGCTGTGGACGTAGGAGCTCTAGAAGATGGAGCTGAACTCTGGACACTGAGTAAACAGGTATTTTGATCATGTTGAGATGACAGGCATTGAAATGCTAAGAACTAAGTTTTTTCCTACGTTCCTATACAAATTAGCATGGTACAATCATACATGAGCCATTCTAACACAAGACAGACTGGTATATTAAAAGTCAAAGTTAAAGACCACAAAAAGACAAAGACAAAGTGGAGAGTTCAAGACAAATAAGAGGGACAGAGAGTTTGCACAGTGTTATGCAATGAGCTTAGTAAAATCCACCCCATCAGCAAAAACAAACAAACAAAAAACTGCTAAAGCAATCACAACACAAAACCAAACCATGGGTCTTAATGAGACCAAAAACTGAAAACACAACCTGATGCCACTGTCCATCTAGAAGGCATCTCCAGATCACTCATTTAAATTCACACTCCACGTCCCCATATTTAATAGGTATTTACCAAGTATTTCTATGTGCCAGGCACTATTGCAGGCTCTGTGAATTCAGCCTGAATAAGGCAAAGCCTCTGCTCTCATGAAGCCCACACTCTAATGGGAGAGGCAGATGACAGACGGTTAATCAGCAACTATAAACATCATGTCAGAGAGAAACTGACACTGAAGAAACAACCCAGAATGAGGGGAGACTAGGCCTGGTGCCCTCTGGACAGGAAGTGCCATGGGACCTGATGGGGGAGGGGTGGGACATGCAGGAAGGTGGGAAGTGTGTTCTAAGTGGGGTGCTTCAAGCACAGGGGTCAAGTCCAGCAGTAGGAGCCCGGCACAGCTGAGAAGAGGGGTGACGGACACAGTAAGAAATGGGGTCACAGAGGCTGATGTATGTGAACAGATCAAGTAGAACACTAGAATAACCTAAACTTAATAGAACACCAATTCAGGGCTGACATTTTGAAAAGATCTCTGTGGTCTAGGAAGAAAATTCTTGAATGAAAAAAAAAAATGAAAAGATCTCTGGTCCCATGGTATAGACAGACACCAGCCACAAGGTAATGCAATCATCGAGGACAGACCACTAGACAGGACTCTCCAAGTGACAGGTGGTGATGAAGCCACGAGGGAATAAAGAGAAGCAGTCCACGAATGAACCCAGGACACTCCCACCTTCAGCAGGAGGCAAGCGCATGAGGGCCAAAGGACACAGGTTCACAGTCAGCAAGGTGGGAACACCATTAGGGTACTGCGTAGTTAGGAGCCAAGAGAATCATCCACAATAAGATAACACAGTAAAGGCAGGTAGGTTAAGAAGTTGGAACTAACTACTAGATCTTGCTGCACCAGCATCATTAAAGAGCTCGACAAATGTCACTTAGGACAACTGTCTACCTGGATTGGATTCAAGAGAGAATGGAAGCAAGGAGATGGGGACAGCAAGCAGATAGCTGAAGTGTTCTGCTGTGAAAGACAGGCTGCCCAGGGTAGTTTCACCTAAGGTGGGCAATAATACCACCTTAGAAAGATGGGGAATGACCCAACCATGGAAGTAACGCCTGGCACTGCAGAGGAGACCGGGAAGCAAAGTCAATGACAAGGAAGTGAGGCGGGCTCTCAGGGAGATTGGAGGTTGGGCATGTGGTATCAGTAAGACAGAGGCAATCTGCCCCTAGGCAAGATAGGATCACAGGGACTAGGATAGCTTTCCTTTTAAAATCACTAAGAAACCAAGTAAGATAGATGAAACGATGGTTTTCCAGATGTGGGACATAGGGCAACAAAGGACATGGATTCCTATGTAACATGAGACACTAAAGTAACCCCCACACGTTCAGCCCACTCCCTTGGGGAAAGCCCCAGGCTGTGCCCAGGGAGTAGGAAGTCAGGTGGGAACCCAGCGTATGGCTGTGATGAAGAGATCAAGAGAATGCAGGAGATGGAGAGGCTGAATGTACAGGACAGCAAGAGGACTCCAGAGAACTGCAGGGGCCCAGGCCCCACCAAGTAGTCAGACAGGTTCTTTGCAAAGCAAGGATGTGATGAAACTACCCCACGTATAACAATACATGTCATTCATGCGCAGGGCCTCAAATGGTAACTGTCCCCAAAAGAAAATCTTGTGATTCCCAGAGCCCTGCCTCCGCGGTAGAAAACAGGCCCCACACAGCACGCCTAACACATCTTTAAAAACAAGATATGAAAGGATCACACTGTTTCTAAGAAACTTAGCTGCATCCCAGAACAAAAATCAAATATTTAAAGAACTACAAAAATACTAAGCCCTGAATAAAGTAAAATTCGATCTAACTAAAAATTAGCATGCATGCAAAGAAAGAAGCAAGAATATCTGACACATGACATTGAGAAATGTCAACCAACAGAAATCAATCCAGAACTGACAAAGATGTTAAAATTAACTGATAAGGACACACTGAAAGTTACCATAACTGTATTCCATATGTTTAAAGTCAGGTAAGGACATGAAACTTACCAAAAAAATAAAAAAGAAAGAAAGAAAAGAAAAAACTGCTAGAGATGAAACTCCAATGTCTGGTACTAAAAATACTTGATGAGATTAACAGGGTGGGCATTATGACAGACTCAGGAACCTAAAGATACAGAAAGATACAGTAACAGAAACTTCCCAAAATGAAACACAGAAATGAGAAGTATGACCAACCAGCACAGAGGATCAGTAAGCTTCGGACAACATCAAGTAGCTCAGCTCAAGTGTAACAGGAGACCCTGCCACAGTCAGCCCCCAACACACAGAAAATCTACACAAAGGAACAGAGAGCACCAGAAACTACCACGACATGGATAAATATGTATGCTTTTTTTGCTTATTATAACTTACATCTCTTTTAAAAATAACTGACTTAAATAAAAATAAAAACAATATATTGTCAGTTTTAGCATAACTGCAAAATGCATGATGACCAAAGCATCCAAGCCATGAAAAATGACAGCAGACTGCCCTGATGCTGCGCTCTACGTGAAGCAGCACGCAGCCATCTGAAGGTAGACTGTGTTAACCGAAAGAAGTGGAGTAAAACGCAAAGAAACCATTAAAACAGCAAAACAAGGAAAAAGAAGCCTACTCCAAAGAAAAACAGAGAAAGAGCGAAAGAGGAACAAAGAACAGATGGGACAAAAATAAACAGAACACACCTCGTACTCAATCTTGAGTTCTGATATCACTCTCCAATGAAGGAGCCAGCGCTCCTTGGAGAAATGGCTGAATCTAGGGCTGAAGCAAGGAGAAAAAAAACCAAACCAAACCAAATAACCACAAAAAGCCTCCGTTGATGGGGTATGTCAAAGGGAGCCAACCAGAAGAACTCCTAATGGCCAAAGCAAGAACAATAATTTGAACAACAAAATAAAGCAGTACTGGATTATAACCAAAAGTATAAAACAAACATTCTCGAACCCATACTGCCATAAATAGTTGAATAAGTAAATAAATAAAGGAGAAGAGACGAATCTCCCATACATAAGAATTTTAAATAATTTACAAATATTTGTGTCCTCATGGAGGGGGACCATAAATCCCTATTCCTTATGTTTGGACTGTATGCAGCGACTTCTTTCCAAACAGTACAACATGGAAACAGGGAGGGAAAGGGTAACTTCAGAGTGAGAAACCCAGTAAACAGCCAAGTGATCAAGATCATACCAACAGTGGTAAGTCACGCTGACAGTGTGCACCCTTGATATATGTGATAGAAATGGTGTTTTACCTTCTCAAACCCACTAACACTGTAATATCATAACGAGAAAAGCATATCCTAAGAGAAGAGAATGTTGCAAAATACTTGACTAGTACTCTTCAGAACTATGATATCAAAATTACCAAAAACAAGGAAAGCCTGGGAAACTGTTACAGCCAAGAGGAGCCTAAGGAGACATAAGATTAAATAAAATATGGTTCCTAGCTGGGATCCTGCAATAGAAAAAGGACATTTAGGTCAAAATGTATCACTACTGGTTCAGTGATTGGGACAAATGTACCATATTAATAAAAGGTGTGAAGAGTAGGAAAAACTGAGTGCCAGCTATATGGGAACACTGTGTGCTCAATCGTCTCAATTTTTCTGTAAGTCTAAAGCTATTCTAAAACAAATAGCAAGATGAGAGATCTAAACCTAACCAAAGCAATTACCACACTAAATGTTAACATTCTAAACACTAGAATTAGGAGACAAAAAAGCAAAGCCCAAATGTTATCCATAAAAAATGTGGGAGCCACAGTAGCTGAGGCCACTTGTCCTGGCACATGAGGAGGCAAGGCTACATGTTTGAGGCCAGCCTGGGCAACATAGAAATCTCTCATCCATTAAAAAA